TCGTCAACAATATATGTCATTTTATAGTAAAACTAGCTGCTGGTCAAAGCTTGTCGGGTAAAATACAGGAAAAGGGAAAATACATTTAGGATACTGAGAGAATAAGGATACAGTAGAATTTAGTTAAGATACGGGAATAGGTAAAAACGACTAGACATCAGTTTTTTACAAGGTTCCATGGCTCCACTCCCAGGCCCCAGGCACTCCTGTGATACAGAATACAGTACGCCAGGATACAGGAAATCGTAGCGGATACAGTCGGCGGATAGGCAATCAGCCTTCGGCGGACTGGATGAAGTATAATATGTATGATAATGCTGAATATAGGAGAAATTAAGATATAGGGGTGGCAATACAGAAGAATTCGAGGAATGTCTAGACGCCAGTATCTTCGGATATGTAGATATGAAGGGATTCGGACAATGTCTCGGTGTTACTATTCTCGGAAGCGAGAACAGTCGGTATACCTAATAGAATACAGGTGCAATGGATATGTGAAGAGATTCGAACATTGTCTAGATATCAGTATTTTCGCTTAATATCGTGATTAATATAGGTATGCTGGTATTGATGCTTGTCTAGATGTCAGTATTCTTGGAAGCGTACACAGGCGGAGGGTGCAGTGTAACGTTCAGAATACGGGGTAAATTGAGAAATGGAGGGAGAAATGTCTAAATGTCAGTATTTTGTGTTTAATATATACCATAAAATGGGGCGAATAGGGTTAAGATATTGGAGATATACAGTAAATCTGAAGGGATTCGGACAATGTCTAGATGTTAGTGTTCTCGGAAGCGGACACAGACGATATGCCTAATAGAATACAGGAGAAATTGATACACGAAAGGATTCGGGCATTGTCTAGATATCAGTATTTACTATTGTACTACTGTGTTAAATAAATTTATAAATAAACTTTATTGGCAATACTTGAATACAATTCTTGAGGAATAATTCTATTTAAACAATATTATTTTAGTAATACAGGTATTACTAAAATGCCAATTAATGTTTAATATATGTAAATATACAATCGGGAAACTGAGTCGTTTTTTGGACGTTTGAAAAGCGGTCCGAAACGGCAAATAACTGTGAGAAAAGGATTTAAGCGAAAAAAAAAACCCCCGAGCGGCCGGGTTATTCTTACGAAACGTATAAAGGCGACGGTACCGCTGTGAATCGAACCGGGGACCCTAATCACATAAACTACCAAGCCTATCTATCGACCTACAACGTTTGTTGAAGAAACCGAATGTTTTTACGGGTATACAAGTCACGATTATTACGCGTAAACGACCGAAATAAAACGAGCGCGTTAAACCGAAGAAAAAGAACGAAAATAACGAAACCGAATAAATAACGGCGAGTAATTAACATAGCGACGATATTACCGTACCGCTCGTACGGTTACGAATGGCGACCACACATAACCATAAATAGCTGGACAACAGCCGGCCGGTCTAACACGGATAGAGTGAAACACGTTTTCAGAAAACGAAAACTGTATGTTCGGGGGTCGCGTAAAGTACACAAAATAGTTTTAAAAGGTTTTTGAAAGAGTTTTAAAGCGTTAAAATCGGGTAAAAAACGTTATCAAAACAAAATACGAAAAACCAAAGACCCCCAATTGAGAAATAACGGGCACTAGCCAATGAGTACTAACTGTAATCTTTAGTTTGAGTTGTCATTTTATTATACAAGATAATTAAATAGGCTTTATATATTTTCTTTAATAAAATTTGTTTAATGTTGTACCGATTCCAAGTTTTCCTACGTTTTTCCCGTTTTTCCTCCATTTTTTTCGATTTTTCAAACTTGATGAGAAAACTCCTGAGAAAATCGAAAAATTACCTCCCTAAAGTACTTCCCTACACCGATTTCCTTTTAGAAAAGATTCTATACTTAAAAATCTGAGTCTTCTGGTAGAAAAGTTGCGCACAGATAAAAACTCGGAATCTAAAATGTACTGTTAAATGTAACTTGTTACCATTGTAAGGGCTCCGGCCGGCAGGCACGCCTCGCCATCCATCCGCGTTAATGTCCCTCCCTTAGTTCGTTGAACCACGTGGAAAAGCAAAAAAATAAAAAAGGTTGACCACGCGCGGTGACTCACCGAACTATCGAAGAGTTGTACGACGAGAACGACCTGATGGTCGCGTTGGCGCTACTGTACGTGGACGACGATTGGCTTTTGCAGCATTTGTTTCCCATGGCAGTGGCGGCGACGGTCACGGGGTCGGACCGACTCTCATAACTGTCGTCGTGGGTATTCGCGCTGTTTTTCGCAATAATATTACTGTTGTTGTGTGGCCGGGGAAAGCGGTTACGGGTTTTTTAAGAAAAAATAATAATAATAATTATTATTATTATTATGCGGCGAGTTAAATAAGAAGAGATTTAAAAAAAAAAAAAAACCCGCGAAAAATCCCGGCCCCCTCGTGTACGAACGTTTGGTCGTGCGGTCCGACGGCGGACTGACCCACACACGGAATTATTTTGGGTCGCCAGCGACCGTTCCGCCAAGTCGGACGGCGGCGGCGTCGTCGGCGGCTGCTGTTGCTGCTACTGATACTGCTGCTGCTGCTGCTGCGACGGCGGCAATAATATAATAATAATATTATTTTTTACACTCGCTCGCACGCGCGCCCGACATTTTTTTATCTCGCCCACCTTTGTCACCGTCGTCCGTTCGCGCAAATATTTCGCCCGGACGGTTGTAATAAATTGTCGCGAGGCGTTATCGTACGGTTTATCACGCCCGAACCGTCTCGGCCCGACAGCGATATTATTACCGAGACCGGGATACGTGTGCGCTTAAATAAAAATTGAGTAAAAAATACGCATTTCGTTCGCTGAAATATGCAAAAACAAATTTTGGATTTATTTCTACCAAACGTGTAAACGTATACGTACCTATACGTGGCAACACGAGTCGCACAAATGAACATAGCTGCCCTAGGGTAACGGGGACGGGTGTAGCCGCTGTTGTTGGGGAAAAGTTGGAAAGGCAGAATTCAGAAGGGAATGTAATGTGTATCTGTAAGCAACGACAAACCATCGCTAACGAAAAAACGATTTTGACCGGAGTTCAATTGATAGTGACGCTTTGTCAACAATATAATATGTGTCTTATTATGGCGAATTAATTAAATAGGCATTATATATATTTTTTAATAATATATTTTGTTTAATATTTACTCGATTTTCCCGATGTTTTTTCCGGTTTTTCACATGCTGGGAAAAATCTCAACTCTTGAGATAAATGACCTCCTTAAAGTATCTACCCACACCAATTTCCTTTCGGAAAATGTGCTACGCTTAAAATTGGAGCAAGATTTCTGGTAGAATATTTGTCCACAGAATAAAAACTAAACATCTTTGTAAAACCATAAGCTACTTCGCTCCACTCAAAATTTAAAATGTACCAATGCAGTCGGCGTTTGGTATTGCATTTTTTTTGTTGTCAGTACTTTTGTACCATCTCACAATGTACGTCGTTAAATAACGTGTAGATAATCCATAATGAGGCTTATATTAACTAAATATTTATAATGATTCCACAAAAAAAAAATAAAACAATAATTACAGACGTTCCTTAAATAAAAACACCGTTTGAAATTCCCAAGATTCTCAAAAATCTAAATATGCAATTATATGCATTATGTTCAAAACATGCAAAAAAAAAAAAAATTAAAAATTGTATCTATTGTATTTAATCGAAAATAAGCCAAATTGCGAACGTAAACTCTAGGAAAAAAACATGCAAATACATAAAAATCCAAGCCCTGATTATGACTGTGTAATATGTTATCCACGAATCTCGCAGCGTAGCACTGCAGTCGCATTATTATTATAACAAGTGTTTATGCTCGAGCTGATTTTCCTCTCTATCTGCCTCCTCACCATTTTTTCGATCATTTAAAAGCATATGACTTTTTTTGAAAAATCTTTTTAAAAAAAACAGATACTCAAAATATAAATGTGACGTAATGTCGATAGCCGGGTTGAGATCCTGTCGCATAGTTAACCGTTGGTTATTTTTTAGCCATATTGCATCGTAGTATCGCTTCATTTAAACAAAATTAATGGTTTCCGAGATAATGAACGCACCCGCTTAAATTGATCACCTGGTGCAGTGTTGAGAACCAAAGGTTACAATGGTGGGTATGAACAACGGGTCACGGTGCCTAACGCACAATTTTCGTGTTCGCGACTATAGCTTCAAAATTTACCAGATCTTGTACTTTTGTTTTTTATTCTATAAATAATGTACTAAGTAATATTATGTTAAGCTTGAAATTTTAAATTCCATGGTGATTTTTCTCATCGTTCTTTTTTTACCATAAGGTTCTTTTTGTTTGTAGATTTTTTTTATCACATTTCGAGTATAATATTTTTTTTTTATATTAAATGTCTTTTCAACAAATAAACTTCACTCTTACAGCCTAATTACGCCTATCGATATCGTTACGGAAAAATAATATTGATTTGGCGTACCAAACAATTTTGAAAAAGTATATTTTAAAGAACAATTAATGTTTTTTTTTTTTTTTTTTATTAAATAAATGTAAATTGGCAATTTTAAAAGTTTTAATTAAAACAAAGGCCCAATTTTACAACTTATAAAAAATTTCTCATTAGTATTTTATAAATTATATCAACCCACTAAAATGCTAAATGGTAATACATTAGACAAAAGTGTTCGTTGGAAAAAAAAAATGTACCTAGAAAAGTAGTTTTTTAAATCTTTTGAAAAAATCCAATATTTTAAATTGAACCCTTGTTCCGAATTATTGACTCATATATTATTGTACATTTACACGAATATTATGAAATTCAGTACCTAATACGTAATTTACAAAAATAAGCAATGATATAATACCTTAAGTCAATAAACTAGTTATTATGCTACATTGTGTATCTAATGTCTATTCGTTAAGAAATGCACATTAATAAATAAATAGGTTACCTACCTACTTATTCATTTGAAATACTTTATTCTTTAAACATAAATTGTAATATATTTATAGTATAAAGTATTTTTCGGTTACAATTATTATTGTTATTTTTTTTTTTTTTTTAACAACATACTTAACTTGATGAATTCGTTAAAATGATTTTCGTCAAACATGTATGGATAATTTTAAAATTGATCTTAATTGTCGATGGAAGAAATTTTACAGACGATAGTATAAAACTTCCAACTTATAAAGAAAACATAAGAAGTCTTCAAAAAAACGCATTTTCAGACCAATTTAAGCTCATAAAAAAAAAAAAGAATATTCCAAATATAATAACATGGAGACACTTAATCGAAAACAAGGACTCTTTAAAATATGGAATATACAAACCAACGAAACCTTCAAAAGAAAATGGTATTGTATATAAAATTATATCTAAAAAAAGAAACGATATTCTCTGTACGTACGCGTTATACGCCAAAAAACATTTTGGTTTCATACGTTTAATTGCAACAAACGGTTTATTATTTGAAGAAACTAGGGAACTAGTATTGAAATTACATTTTTCATATTCCAATGTATTTTTGAAAAATATAGCTACCGTTTATAACGCCATATCCGATCAAATCCCCGATTGGATGATAAGTTTAAGAGACAATATAATGAATAACAAGATACTAGACGATATCAAATTCACTAGAGAGTTGTCAGATATAATACAAACATTGATGAATGTTATATCTAATTATGAGTGTACTTTAACAAAAATACCATCAATAATCGATCACCTTAAAAAACAAAAGAGTATAAATAATATGGTGATTACATTATTGGGCGAAGACCAGCCGTTTGCTAAATTATATGATCAAGTTGTATTGTTTATCAATGAAACAAATGTCTCGCAGTGGCTTATTGATAACAATATTAAACCCCGGGATATCCAAGAAAAAAACTCATCAAATGGACAAGATACTAATTTGGAAAACGATGGAACTGCACATGCTGTTCAGCCGCGGAATACCATTCAGATCTGTGGTATATATCTGTTTAACTATTTAAAATCCACTGCGATTAACGTATATAATAATATACTTGAAATAAGCACCTTACTTGTAACAAATAAAGAAAGGTTAGAGTATAGTAATTACTATAGTTTTCGCAATAAAAATCTAGATGTCGATCAAATAGAAATAGACGAAGTGGTGAATATGATGCCAACAGCCTTTGATGAACGATATAGATTATCAGATATTAATAGTGCCTATTCAACGGAACTTTTGAACTCAAAACGATTAGAAATAAATGTGCATACAATAATAAATATTACACATTTTAAAATTATAGAAAAAGACAAAATAATTGCGGCAATCGCACAAACTACGACAAAAAACGATATGTACGATAAACATTATTATAGATATCAGACTGCGAAATTGGAAAAAATTATGAACGTGATAATGACTGATCTTCAATGCACATATTTGTATTTTGCTCGAGTACACTTTAATGAAATAATCAATTTTATACTAGATACTCATAGAATAAAAATTGCTAAATATTACACTGACAATGTCAAATTAATATTTAGATATTATAAAATATCACTGCAGACATTAGCCGGTATTTTCTATTATCAGCGCCAAGCCCCCAACTGGATGGTTATGATGGTGGTTTATTTCGGGAGTTTACATCGCATAGCCTTAAACTTAGATTCATTTTTGAATGAAACACTTAAAGTATTTCGAGTTTTAATATCCGTCAGTTCACGATGCAAAAATAATAACTATAAGACATCCGAACTCCCAGATCCACCTAAAGCAACACAAGTTCAATTTTCAAATGAAATATTAAATAATATGTCTCCTGAGTATTTAAGACTTGACATAATTGGAATAAGGAAAAACGAAAATGAAAACCAATATGAAAACAAAAATGAAAATAAGACATGTTTATTAGTAATGTATAACAATTTAATACGTATAATGTATTTACTCAAATTAAATGACAGTTATTTACCGTGGTACAATTACAATAAATTCAATCCCAATTATTGGATATTCAGCTTTAATAATTTAAATCAAACAGCTATAAACATTCTTAGTCGAAATCCAATTACAACAGGTAAAGAAGATTTAAATAATCACCTTTTAACACTTTTAAAAACTAACAAATATGAAACTAGTATAACCCAAAGGATCAGAAACGCTATTTTGATACACGATACCGTGATTAACTTGATGCAAACACGAATTACCTACTACGCTATGAATTTCTTAACCCATTGCCGTTATTTATCGTTTATGGTCAGCATGAATTATTTACCGATTGTCTTTAACGACCATGCAGCATTTTTAATGAAGTATAATGAGATATGTAACAAATTTCCCAAACATTTGATGCAAACGAATTTAAATGAAGATAATGTATTTGACAAAATAATAGGAAAAAATTATATAGATACGAATCTAAAAGAAATAAAAATCAAAAATATCCTCAACAAGAAATATTTATTAGCAATGAGAAAACAAAATCAATTATCAATTAATACAAATACAGATATTCAAAATCCAAATTTTGTCGTATATTTAAACGCTATCGTTACCACAAAAACAACTGATGAGAAAATGACAAATTTTATCCAATCTTTGCTATCTAAAATAGAGATATGTAAAAAAAATGTATATATTTTCTTAAAAAGTTTGAAGGACAACATTCCATTTTACAATTACGATACGTACAATTTGATGTTGCAATCTATCAATAGTCAATAGACAGATGCAGATTAACACGAGTGAATGATTTAAGCAAACATTTTTAATGATATTTAGCATATAGAATTTAAATTAATTTACACATGAATCATATTAATAATGAATTAAAATGTTCCTTAGAAAAAATAATTTGATTTCTGTTATGATAAGTATTTAATTTATAAGCATATCTGTACCATTTATTTTTATTTGAAAAAAAATTACGAATTACCATATACCTTCAAAAATATTGTACGGCTGTTTATTTTATTAATTTAATACACTAATTAATGAGAGTACCAATTAATAGTTGTTTTAGATTCGGAGCGAAGTAAGGAATATATTGGTTTTACCATAAGGTTTATTTTTATTTTTATTTTTTTATTATTTTTATAACGTGTACAAAAATCCTATCAGAAATCTATCCAGTGTATCACCTCTGAAAGGAAATGTTATCTAATTGGTACTATAGGGAGGTCAGTTTTTAATATTTCAAGTGGTTCTTTTAATAATTCAGAAAAACCGAAAAAAAAAATAACGTAGAAAGAACGGGAAAATATGGACAAAGCAAAACGGCTAGTATTTATATATTTTTTACCATATCGAAATTCGCGATCTCAAATGTATTATTGTCAAATTTTGAAATAAATAATATCTTTGTTTTTTTTTACTCGAAGGATGAAATATTTCACTGGCTTGAATCAAAAAAAAAACGATATCATTGTGTGTAAATGTATTTTAACGATTACATAATAATGCACAGTAATATCATAAGGATGAGCAAGTAATTCGAATTTTATGTTTATTATATTATTTATGAAATAAAACAGTTGGGATGAAGATAAGGTTATGAAAACGAACCGAAAAAATACGCGATTGGGGTGGTACGATTCGCCTGTGTGTACAGCAGTGCCACATCCTGAAAATTATACTGTGGGGGGGAGGAAGTGGCACGGTTGAGTAAACTTGCACGGTTATGGTCTTTAGCAAAAAAAAATTGAAAATTTTTTCATTAGTGCAGTTTTGTCCGCAATCAGGTAAACAATACATTTTCAGCACGAAAACTAAATGTTTTTCTGTGATATATAAAATAACCAATAATAACAATCGTCTCTCTTTTTGAAATCGGTATAGCACACCGTGCTACCACCGTGAACGGATTTAAAACAATCTTATTAAAAACCGTTGCAATAATAAAACTCAAATAAACAACAGACGGATGGCGTTCTGTGATTGGAGTCCGGTTAAACGTGTTTTTAAATTCCGCGATATGTACGATTTTCCCGTTTCTATAAAAACAAATTATTGCGTTACCCAAAACGGTTTTCTATTGTACGTGAAGTACAACTAGTGTTGAATCTTGAGTAAAATTTTGAAACATTTCTGCTCGGCTACAATAATTGTATCCGCGTTAAACCAAAAATGAACGATTAAAAAAGACTGACATACTTTGCACGTGGGTGGATGTCCATCTGTTGTAGATGGGAAGATTTAGTGGACATTTAATGTATATCTGTACGCAGCGATTAACCATTTGTAACGGAAAAAAAAACGATTCTGAGCGGAACTTGGTTAATAGTGTTGCTTTGTCAACAATATATACATATGTAATATTATGGTAAAATAATTACAAAACGCACCTATATGCATGCACAATGAATAGCGCGCCGCCCACTTATCGTTGCCTGTTTTTCGACGAATACTAACGATCTGCCTTAGATGACATTTTTATTTTATTTTTTCAAAAGCCGTATTTTTTCAGCCCGAATCTGTCGATGATATAAAAATTCACAACTTTCGACTTATTATTGTAAGTTTAATCCGATTGAGAATAAAAGTGAACAGCCTACCGGCTTTATGTTTAGTCACTAATAGAAATTGCAGACATTTTATTCGAAATGGAATTACAGGCACCTTAAAAAAATATGTTTCAAAAAATACATTCCTCGTAGCGCTCAAAATCAAAACAAAGATTTTTCCGTAAAATAATTGTTGTCTTGATAAACTCATGTCACACTTGCGGGATCGCACCTACGAAACTCAGATGAGATCATTATCATAATAATATTGCTAGATATCTAAAAAATAAATAATGTTAATATTAATCAAAATGAAAACGCGGTGGATGACAGCCAAGTTCGGCGAATCTGTTTGGTAGAAAACATTGTCATCCCTCCAAATTGCGTACAGCGTAGATACGAGTATACATATATAGACTGAGGAAATACGTCTTAATAGAATTTCAAAAAACTATACGGTACAAAACATTATATTATAAGCATGGAAACATAAATATTAATAATATGTGTACCCGAATAACTCGGAACACATTTAATGTGAAAAATTGTTCGAATTTTTTTTTTATTTTTCTAACCAATTCAAACTTGTTTTTATTTTCGCAGCAAAATAACAGCGACCCATTGCCAATTTCGCATTCTTCTTCTTTAGTATTTATACAGGGCGGTTCACGAGATATATATTTATCCGAATTAAATGCGCCGCGTAACTAAACGTTCTTGTAGAATCATCGAGGAATCAATGTATGTACCTATATAAACAGGATTTATTAGTAATGTATTTAGACTAGTGTGTTTCGGATATCAATTTTAAATAATGCATAGTATTAAAATTGTGGATTTTAGGTGAAGACAGTGTCTAATAAATTTGTATTAGAAGTTCAAACATTGTATGCATGAAAACGACCCAACCTCAGCAGAATATTTACTAAATTGAATATCGTATAATGTGGTTTACAATGAATACGTCATAATTTGTTAGTATCGGCATAAACCGACGCCGTATATCGGCCGACATTGAGGATAAGTGTTCTTTTTTCTAACTCGATATTTTCGGTCGAAAAACTTGTTCCTGAAAACAAAACCCATTCAAATTCAAAAAAACGTCCAACATCGATAGTGATTACAATATGCGAAAATCGTTCCTAACTTCAAATGTTAAATGCCGTCTTATTGTTTAGTGATATTAGGGCACTAGAAAAATGCTCATCATTAAGGCATTAAAGTATCATAAAATGAAAACTGACAAATTTACGGCGTTACGATTACATTATTTTAACTATTTTTACGATTCATGTTTTCTCCCGGAAATATTGCTCCAATCGAAAAACGACAAGAGACCTTATTTTGTTGCATTTCAAATCTAGTTGGTAAAATTGAAATTCGTTATTTGATTTTCCCTGTACTTTTCTTAATAATTGAACCACACAGGAAAATAACGTGGAAATAACGGGAAAGTTTATGAAAATAATAGTTTCATTATTTTCAATTTCGGTTTTTGTTGTTATTCAGTTAAACTTGAAATTTCGACAGAACAGTAATACTTACTTTATCATCTTTTTTTGGAGGCTATTTATAGAAATATGTTTGATAGTCTATTTCACTTTGTTTTTATTTGGTATGTACTACATTGGGATATAATTGTTTGATTGAACAGAAACGCTTAAAAATTGAACAGAAGCTTTATTATAATTTATATTTAGTGATAAAAAAAATTAGTCAGTGTTTTTATAATAGTTTTAAAATCAAATTTTGATGAAAATAGTGTTCTTATTATACAAGTTTGTGTGTGTGTGTGTGTGTCTGGGATCAACTTTTCTATCGATTCCCTTGCTTCAATCAAAAAATGATAGAAGAGATTTTTTGCAACCATTTGGATCTATTTGGTGAACTGGGAAGGTAATTTTTTGATTTTGAAAAAACGTAAGACATTAAAAATTGTATTATTTTCGATTTTTCTAGAAATCTGATTCCAAATTTTAAAAATACCATCTTTTCATTCAATTTATAACTGCGCCAACTGAAATATAAACGCGATTGATTATGCACGATAAAATTGTTGGAATAAAAATATCTTTTCGAATAGACAATACATGTCCTGATTTTTATAAAATACGAATTAATTCTCTTAAGAATTAATTCGAAAAACGTTCTTTTCTCCGTATGTTATTATGTTTCATTGTTTACCTCAGGGTGATTATTTTTCCGTGGAGATTTTCTCGGATGATTTTAAGTGAATTTGATTTTTTTTTTTCAATCATAATGAAATTGTTTTAGCTTTATTTTAAAGCTATTTTGAAATGTATTTTCCCATTTATTATGTCTTAAATGAGTGTTAGCTTTCAAATGAAAACCCTCCCCGCTCCCATTTTAAACACGTACTCGAAAAATTAACTCAAAACGTATAGACCGGATGATGAGTGTATAGGGAATAAGAGCATTCAATTTATCGTAGTAATATTATGATGTCGAACGGTTAATGGAATCACGATGTACAAATGGAATTATTTAAATGGATTTTTTTTTTTTTTTTTGTTTTTACAATTTTCGTTTTACAGTAAAGCGCTGAACTTTTATTTCACGCCAGCACAGGTACGGTACCTATTTATAGTCGCAGTAAAATACTAAAATAAATAATCAATAAGGTTGCCAATGCCTGACATTTGAATTATTTTGCATGTGTCAATGTTTCAGAAACATCAAAAACCATTAACCTACGCTATTCACATACGTAGATATACTTTGTAACTATATAGTATGACCATAAACAAACCGCAAACATAAGCCAATATTAAAAAATGCAAAAAAAAAAAAAAAACTTAATCGAGTATAATAATAAACTATTTTATACAGTCAGTTTAACGTTTTTTTTTATTCGGGGTTGTCGTCGGGTATATGTTATTAATTTAATATTGACGATGATAACTTTATATATCTTAAATGTAAAAAATAAATATGCAATCGCAGCGTGTAGCCAGTGTTTAAGTAGGTGAAGCTAGTGTGACTATATAATATACACATATTGTTGTAAATACGAGAGTGGCCAACTCGTGGGCTACGGTGCAAACGGTGCGTAACATAAATATTTGATGCTTCAGCTAATGAGTGCGCACTGTCAATGTCTAATATGAATCATTAAAAAATTTCCAAAATGTCACCACGTCTATAGTCGTGCTGTATGCAAATTCCAGGTCTTTACGATCATTTTCAATCGAATTATGTAGTAAGACGAAAAAAACTAAATCGAAAAAAATAAAACCATTCTTGCCGATAACTACCCTGTTTTTCCCATACGTATTTCACGCCTATTAAAAAAATGAAAAAAATACAAAAAAAAAATCCAAACCGTCCTTTTACGCACCAACTAGAATACATTTTCTTTCGGATAACAATACAATATAATACCAGTGAAATTGGAACAAGATTTCCGATTGAAAAAAAAAAACGATAAACTAAACGTTTATTGTCGTAAATTTCTCCGTTTTACTTAATTTACCACGAAAACTGTTTGCACCGACTAAATCCAAAATGCTACGAACATTTTAAATTATTTTTTGTTTTTTTTTTAGATACTGTGTAAATTCTCTAGAAGTTTTAGTTAATATTTATAGCGAAAAATCACTTTCAATAGCAATGCGTAAAAACTATACCGACGACAAAAGTTCAGCGTGGCGGACATAATAATATATTTATGTTCGAGTGTTCGAATATCAGACCGTTTTATCGTCTGGCTGTCTGAATAAATTTAAAACGCATAATTATTACGAGACTTACGATCTCGTCACACAAAAGTACTCGTATTTACATTTTTCGTATACAATTTTATGAAATATTGGCAGCGAAATGAAACGCGATCGATTGCCCACATTTGTCTTGACAAACCTACCCGAATGGGTATGTGTACCTATGCGCCTACAGTGACCCTGTGCATGCACACGCTGTAATTCACTAAGCGCGCTCGCTCAATATTTTCGGTTAAAATGCATTCGAATTTCGATTTTTCGGAGTTTTTAAACGTAGTTTGAGCTGATATTTTCGAACACTTGGATTTTTCACAACATTTAAGCAGTGTTCTGTGGCGATGCAAACTGTGGTTTTTCAATTGAGAACCTATATCAAAAATACCATAAATAGATGGTGCATTAGTTGGAATACATTTTGATATTGAAATTGTTGATTTACTATACTCTCCCCGTACCTAAACTTAAATGTTTGAATACCTCGTCAACGGGTTGACTGGTACACCATCAATTTTTGGCAATTTTAATATGGGTTCTCATTTGAATAACCAAAGTTGGTATCACCACGGAACATTCCTTAAATATTATGAAATATCTAAACATTCGAAAACATCGGCTTTAACTATACGCTTAAAAATGCCAAGTGTAGGTTTTTCATAACAAAATATACGGGCAACACGGTGTTTTTTTTTATTATTGTTATTATTATTATTATTATTCTTTATATAAATGGGGCTTTTGGAAAACCGTTCCCGGGGGAAAGGTGGGAGAATCTTTTTACTCCCGATCCCCGGATCCATCACGGCCGCACGCGTTATTAGTTACAGGCTCGGCGCATTGTCTTCGGCAAGTACAGCATCCCCGACGCGGTCCGGCCGTAGCCGGTCTATTTTTACGGTCAACGATTGAACGGACGCGGTTGTTTGTTATTATTATTGTATACGGCATACTTTGCGGGAAATCTGGTATCGTTTTTTTGGCGATCGCGTCCATCTGCCGACAGTAAATAGCCGCCCGCGAATCGAACGGCCGGCCGGGCGAGCGAGAATAATACATTTGTTTGTGTCCGGTGCCAGACGCGGAGCCAGACGACTCGACGACAGATTAATAAAAAAAAAAAAAAAAACCGTCCTAGCATAATGGGGTCGGGTGCAGCCACTGTTTTAAGTAATATTTAATGTGTATAATTTTTTACTCGAAAGATTTTCGTCAAAATTTTATATTGAAATTCATGTAAGAAAAACAAATTCTACATTAAACTCAAATTTTCAATTTTGATGACCGCAAAGAAAGACTTTTAATGAACCTCCTGTTTAAATTCCACGCATTTCTGTTTAGTCTAACAATTTTACCACACAGTACCTAACGAATACAAATTTCATATAAAACTCGCAAAATATAAATGTTTTTTAAATTGCTTAAAAACGGCTCAATTTTTTAAAAACTTTACCATGTCTAGAAAAATTAAATATAAGTTTTTTGTTTAAATTTCTAGTCTCTGCGAATAGTTTTAACTGAGTTACAACAAATAATACAATTTTTATATAGAATTTTCGCAAATTTCTCGTTTTTCTTAAGTTTTTTCTCACTTTTTCTCTCTTATTGAGAAAACTGTACGCAGTATGCAAAAATTTAAAAAAAAAAATAAACATCTTTATAAAACTAATACATTCTTCGATATACTCAGAATCTAAAACGATAATAATAGAATAACTGCTGGGGGGAAAAAAAATGGTCCTATAAAACCGACAAAGTGCAGAATCAAGACTATGAGTTTATCGAATACATCGAAATAGAATCGGAAAAATATTTTTCATTTATCAGATAGAATTGATGGAAAAAAAGACGGACATGCTTCGCACGATAGGCGAGCCACTGTTGTAGGTGAGAAGTCGACGAGATAGGACATAGAGAGAGAATTTAAACTGTATCTGTGCTTAACGACAAACCTTCCAGAACGACGAAAAACGATTCGGAGTGAAAATTCTTTTGTACACACGCGTGCATTTTCCCGTTTTCCCACGTTTTCTCCAGGTCTTTCCCAATTGTTATGGGATACCGGCGAGATAAAACGTCCCTTCAGAAAAGACGTTACACTTGGTACATCGGAACGAGATTTCTGGTAGAAAACTCGCTCGCAGAATAAAAAAAGTAATAATAAAAATAAACATCGTTCCGAAAAAACCAATCGCTCCGAATCCAAACATTTTGATTATACCAACGATTTGTACGGTCGGTCCGCCCGGGCGAGTGAACGTTTTTAAATTATTAAAATTACGCTATCCGTGCGTACTAAACAGAAATATCAGATATAAATTTATGGGTTGTTTTTTTTTTTTTTTTTTTTTTTTATTATAAAAAGAATTTGTGTTTCGCGAAACTAAGATTGCACGTGGTTGCGTAAACGCGGTTTCGCGAAACTCGCGATTTTGGGTTTGTACCAACACACGCAACCTATCCAAATGTTTTCGGGATTTTAGAGATAAACACGACCGACACTAAACGGGGAATCGCTCTGGCAGAAATGTAGAAGAGAGATCGGATAGAAGAGAGTTCTTGGAGCCCCTCCCCCCTCCCCCGTGGTCGCCGCGACCCGTACGGCTGCGCCGTCGCGTGCGACCGAAAAACCGGATTCCCCACCGCACACCCGTCCCCGGCGTTCGCGACCGTCAACAGGGGCCCGTCCGTCGCACGGAGTGCGTCCGTTTTACTACGCCCGTTTCGCCGACGTTCATCGATGTTTACGTCGAAACGCTACGCTACGAGCGGGTGTCATTGCCGTGTTGTGGTACGTGCACACACGGTAATATAGTATTTGTTCTACGGTAATTATCGGGCCCCGGGCACTCGGCGTGTGGCGGCGACTGTATTATTATTATTGCTACAATACTCTAATTTTAAGCGCGAAACATCCTTGAGCGGAATATGGAAATCGACGGTTAAAAATAAATGACCCACCGGCGGCGGCGGCGGCGGCGGCGGCGGCGGCAGCGGCGTCGTCGGACACTGCTCTCGCCGCGCTTTCCCCGCGGGTGCCACGCGATATTATCGTCCGGTCGAAGAAACGCCTAGAAACGCGCCGAGACCCGCGGGTGCCCTACAACTGCGTACTGTTATTGTTCCGGACAACAATTATTCCGGCCGAGTGCAACGGACCAACGGAATACCATTTTTGTCGTGCCGTTGTGCGGCCGTTGCGCGCCGGAACGCCAGCTGTTCCCCGGGGTGTCGCGTCCCGGTCCGTCCGCGACGGCACCGTGGACGGCGGCGTTGTTACCGTCGTTCGCCTCGACGTTCGCCGCGGGGACAGTTTGTTATTCGGTGAGGGTGGGGGGGGGTTGGAAGGGTAGGAGGCGGCGGACCGGCGGCCTCGCGTACGTACCTGATTCGGAGGATTTCCCGCGCGTCTCTTGCCCTCGCTACGTCTCCGCAGAGTCTACGGTCGCCGCGCGGCCGGTTCCCGACGACCGCGTCCCTGCGAGCTCATTCTCCGCGTCGCACTCTTCGTCTTCGTCGTCGTCGTCGTCGTTTCGTCGGCTCTGCGTCTACACTGCGGCACGCGCGATTTTACTATTAATTATTATTATTTATGTTACGCGCCGGTAACTGACGACGGCGAGGAGTGGGGCAGGGGCTGGGGGAGGTACGGTTTTTCGCGAACGATATTCCAACGGGACGCCGCGGTACGAACCGACGAACGAACGCGCGATACGAGTCGTTTTTCCGCTGTTTTTTTTTTTCTTTTTTTTTTTTCTTCGTTTCTTGTCAACCAGAACACGCGTCGGCCGCGGCGGAGGGACGTGTACGCTACGCGAGTGTTTTCGGATCTTCCCGGGCGTCCGACGGCGAAACCGTCCGCGCGCGCCAAACGCTTGAGAGAGTAGGTACGTCATGACGTTCGAATACCGTGTGAAACTAGAGGGGATCGGGTTTTTTTTTTTTTTTTTTACATGCGCAGTTTGCGCGCACGTCGGTAAAAATATTGCGATTATCCCGTGGCTATTTTAAAGTTGTTTTGTTGTTTTCCACTAGGTTTTTTTTTTTTTTTTTTTTTTTTTCCCAAACGTATTTCGCCGCACAATTATCCCGCGCGTTATCGAACGCAACGCCGCGGTTTCATCGCGTTTATCGTACCGGCGACTCGCCTTTCGTTCGATGCGATAACCGTAAGGGGGCAGCTGCCGCGGTGGCGCGTCGAACCGTACGGTTTTCGGAACAGCGCCCTTTTTTCGCAAAGGGCGAGCGCGGTTTTCCTTATTTTCTATGGAATTCGAACGATCCGGAATGGTATTTCGTTGGGCGTACAGCTATTGTCGGTCGCGGCTATAGGCGTCCTGGATCGCGGCGGTCGCAAAGATTCGCTCCCGCATTGCTTAAAGTTCGCCGCCGTAACCGTATCGCTTCACATAATCAATTGTCGCGTGAAACGCTGTTTTTTTTTTCTTTTTCTTATTTTTATACGCATACAACATGTGATGTATACAGGACGGTCGTTGAGATTAACTTTGTTTCGGAATCCGTTGTACAGAACCGTTATTTTACCTACTTTTGATATTCAAAACGGCAACGCTTTTAGCGAAATGTCCGTTAACAGACGGAGTTGTACGAGTTAAGTAAAATAAATGTTGATGATAAAATTTTTCATTTCCGTCGACCCATACTTAAAAGCGGAATATCTCGTCGGCGGATTGAAGGAAATCAAAAATGTCGACTCCAAAATTTATTTTAATTGATACTCCATCTGTGTATGAGATTTTCAACACAGGTCGCCGTTTGATAATCAAATACGGGACGCTGGTTTACCCCGAAAAATAAGGTTGACGAAAAAAAAAAAAACATAAATGTAAAATTGTTGACATACCTGTTTCTTAAAATGTTTTTTAAAATTAATTCCGAAAAAAAGTTAATACTTTCCGAAATAATGAGCGTTTTGCGATAGATTGATTACCCTGTATATAGTCGGTCCGAGACGATTTTAGTTTTTTACTTTCTTTGGAATGTTTCGTTGTCAAAACGTATTTTTAAAACTCTAATTTGATGGTTAGGTTATTATTTCATATTTTATAACGTTTTCAGTATAAAACATTATATTATTATTTTAATAATAATTAACAATCGTTTCAAGTTTTCAAAAAAAAAAAAACAAAACAAAACATATGAATAATAATAATAATAATAAATATAAAACAGTAATATTATATAGTATAGTATCATGCAGACGATTGATTATGAATTTCGGATTTAGAAAAACCGAAATCGAATAAAAATCAAATCCTATCCCAAATCTGCGTTTTGAAAAATCGAAACGACAAAAATCCGAATATCGGTACCGACAGCCGTTCGTCTTTGAACGCGTACAGCCAAAAGCCCAACAGCGCCAGCGACAGATTGCCGAATATCTTCAAGTACGGTATCGCGTTCGGCTCGGTAACCGCCGGGCCGGTCGCCAGCTGCCTGTGGTCGGGAGTCGCCGAATCGTCATTCTGCGACCCCGTTTCCGGTTCGTCAGCCGCGGAATTACCGTCCCCGTACTCGTCCCCGTCCCCGTCCCGGTCGTCGTAGTCCCCGTCTTCCGTTCCGCTCTCGTAATATCCGTCGGCCGCGGCGTCGACGACCGGTTGGTCGTGTTCCACGGCCGCCGCCATTTTCAACTGTTCGAAATCCAAGTACGTCTTGGAGGCGGTCTTTTTGGCCACGCCGCTATACCGTTCCACTATGTCCCCGTAACGTTTCACCGCGATCATTTCGGCGTTTTCTTGCGCGTCGGGCGGCGACGGCGTTTCCGGAGGACTTTGCGGGTCGAAGTCCCCGTGACCGCGGTCGCCGCCGTCATCGACCGGTTCGCGGTCCGCGTCCCGTTCCGGAGACCGTTTCGATAACGTGTTGAACGTACTCGAATTGACGTTGTTGTATTTGTCGTAATACGATTCGTTTTGGCCCGCAAAGGTCGGTACGAAAATCTGTTTCAGTATAGGAGTGTTGGGGCCGTACCGTTCTTCCGTCATTTCGGTGACCGTAATCACGGGAATCGACATGTGACCGCCGCCGTTGTTCTCTTCCCGTTTGGGTATTTCGGGCGGCACGGTTCCGCCGGGACCCGACGAACCGTCCGCGGTCGCGGCCGTGTGGTTTCTGTAAAACGGATTCGGCAACATGACGTACTTGGGTATTCCGTCTCGCGGCCGATAAATGTCATCGGACTCGACCGTACATATTTCATCGGGATTGTGGGCACGTTGATTTTCGACGGTTTGTCCGCTATTAGAAGGACTTTCCGAAGACTTTTCTGCGTCGTCTCCGTCGTTATCTTTATCCGATTGTGAATTGTCGTTATCTTTATCCGATCGTGAATCGTCGTTATCTTTATCCGATCGTGAATCGTTGTTATCTTTATCCGATCGTGAATAATCGCCATCACTGCTGACAGAATCGGAATTATTTAACGAGTCTTGCGATATCGCATCAGACTTTTCTGGTGCCACGTTCGCTGCAGGTGATATCGAACGCTCTCTGTCGGACAGTTTCTGGTCCGACAGATAATCGTCATCGTAGTACACCGTCGAAAAAAAAGCGCTCGAAGTGTTGTGCTCCAGGGCACGCTTCCCGCTTCCAAATTTCATAAATTCTTCGTCAGAACTATTGTCGGACACATACTCTTCTCCGTCAGAATGTGCCTTCGAGGTTTGCAACTCTAAACCAGAAAACGAAGTAGACGGTACCATAATATCACTATCGTCGTTTATTGTTTCTTTAAACTCGTCTTCCATTTTTTCTTCAATACTTTTTGCTAACGATACATAACTACTCGTTTTTTTGGAAATTTCAACAACACTTTGAATCGAATCCGAATCACTTAAGATTGATTTGTCTTCCGAGCCCTCGTTTGATATTCTAGTTATAGGCGATCGCCTTAGACTGTCTTTTCTATCCATTGCGTAAATCGCTATTTTCTGAGCTTCGGAAGACAATTTGTCATCGTTTGAATATCCATTGAATCTACTTAAATTTCGTTCGTAAAGTAGTTCACTCGAGCTGTACGAATTTCTAATGTGTTCTTCGAAAGCTTCAGACTCGACACCTAGTTCAGGTGACGATAACGAAATAGGTGGAGCTGGTCCTCGTTCAAAATTCAGTAACAATAAAGAATCGGTTGAATTTCCTGAAAAGAAAAAAAAACATAAACAAAATACAAGTTTATAATACGTCACACAAAACGTAGATACCTTGTGTTTTATAATCCAATGACGTGGCTTTTTGAGAGTTCGGCAAATCTTTAAGGTTCGCGTTATTCGCCTTCAGCCTGGGAGGTAAACCCCAGTGGTCTTTTTGTTCGATTGGCTGTTGCCGCGTTTCAGATACGTCAAACGAACTCAGCGATTTATAAATATCTGACTCCGAACTGTTTAAATCAGCCTTTGGCTTTTTTTTCCGTCTTTTTGGTACCGGAGGAGAAACCTCGTCCACGCTTAGTTTCCGCGATTTTAAAGGCGGCTCGGGAGACTTTGATTTTCGTCCAAAGTACTCAAACATTCCGGTTTCTTGAACTTTTACCAACCCTTCTTCGTCTTCGGATAAGAGAGATGTCGTTATAACTGGCTTGTATATACTATGAATTCACAAACACGCAAATAATGAACCATTAAAACTTAAGTCATAAATTTATAATCATTCTACTACATCAATATTTTAAACCTCAACGTACCCTCGTTTGATGTCCGGAAAAAATATCAAATCAGACATTTCGCTCGGTACACTAATGCCGTAAGGATTTTCCGCTTTCACCCTAAATCTATATTCCGATCCCTCAAGTAAATCGTCGAGATCCGCCGTGAGGAGTCGACTAGTCGATGCTTTCAGCCACATATCCCAACCGACCTAAGAATCGGAACAATAATACGTGTAATTAATACGACACGTTTAGCTAGATAGTCGTTTACAATCGTATTACTCTATTATACTCAATTATATAATTTCCGATTTTACATCCACCGTCGTCTTCGGGCGGCTTCCATGACAGCGTCACAGATTTACCTGACGTTTTGGATACATGAACTTTACCCGGCGGTGAAGGTCTATCTAAAAGTAATAAACAAATATAATGGTAATAATATTAATGAATTATAAACCAGAGTTGGGCGAGAATCGGTTTTTTGAAATCGAGTCAAGTCGATTTGTCGTTTTAACGAGTTCCGGAAAAAAAAAAAAATAAAAAATTCGAGTCGACTAATAAACCAACTCTAAATGAAACGTAAATATCACTATCGTAATACTCAAGTATAACAATTGAATTATACATAATATAATCTTATTGAAAATGTCTGTATTTTAAAATAACAATTTACCTTTAAATGTTTAAATAAAACAGTCGAGTACTCGAGTTTACGAGTATGCGTACTAACAAATACTTGTCGGATAAAGTCGAATACTCGACCGACTACTCTACATTATTAACAATATATTATTGCTATCGGGTGTACAATAATAATTATCTCGTTGTTATTAAACGTGTTTAATATATACCCGTGACGGTGACTAAAAACGAAGCGGTGTGTTCACCTAACGGGTTGACAGCTTGAATTTGATAGCATCCCCGGTCCGATCTTTTAATGGACGCCAATTTTAAGGCGGCATATTTATCTGTATGAATGACTTCGAATCTGGAATTTGAAATATACATCTCGTTTATTACCCGTAACCTCAGAGGGGCATTAGCGGGGTTTAGCGAACCCGGGGCCCCGAACTCCTACCGGTAGAAAGTTCAGATGGGTGATTTCAGTCTTATGGTATTATAAATATAATGGGGACAAATTATCAGGGATTTCAACAATGATTATCGGTTATATTACAATAAGAAGTGTATAGGTATAATAAAAGCGAGAAAATTTTAAAATTTTAAAAATTTATATTCGTAAGAAATTAAAAAATAAAAAGGGAAAAACACCAGATTTGAAATTGGGAAATATGTATGATGTATCACATTATTTAAGAAAAAAAAATGATTTATATATTATTTATGACTTATTTTATGTAATTATCATAGTTTATGAGAAAAAAATTAATAGTTATTTGACTACTTTTATATTGTTCTACTAATAATAATAATATTATAAATGTGAAAGTTTGTGAAGATATATGGATGTTTTTTACTCTTTCGCGCAAAAACTACTAAATGGATTTAGATGAATTTTGGTATAGAGATAAATGTGTTCTTGGAGAAAAACACAGGCTACTTATTGTCGCGAAAAAAAAAATTGAAGGAGATGAAAGGTTTTCAGGTATTTTCGGTACGGAAATTAAATTGTTTTTATTGAATTATGGATTACTAAAGTAATACGGATGAAATGACAAAACAATTTAAAACTAAAAATAAATAATAAACAGAAATAAGAATGTCGTAACAACAGTAAAAAATTGAAATAAAGAATCTATCTGACTGTCTGCCGGTTTATTATTGGCTTGAAATAGGATGAGCTACCTTCGTAACATAAATGAAAAAAAAAAAAAAAAAACTATGCGCTATAAAAGGTGGGTAAGTGAAAAATGAAAACACGTAAAACGTCATCCCTGGATTTTTGTACTTTTTGGTACAGCAACAACACTACAGTACTATTATGTTCTCATAATTTTAGGGTTATTTTAGTGGATATATAGTTTAATTTCTTTGTTGTGCGGGTATCTATAGTAACACAAATGAAAAGATGTACATAAGAACACTTTTAGTCCACGGACTACTCAGTACCCGATTTCCGCCTATTTTTTTTTTTAGTTCAATATACTAATACGGACAAAACAAAACAGTAATAAAGATAAAAAAAAAAAAATAAAAAATTAGCACGGGCAACGACGGCCGCGGGACAGCTAGTATTTTATATATTAATTAAAAAGAAAAGAATGTTAAAATACATTTGAAACTATATATTTGTGTGTTATACATGTGCGGCCCAATCTCCGGTACCCATTAAAAATCTATATTTCATTTGTAGTTCAATACCCGAGTAATAAAATGTAAACGAACATTGGTTACGGAACAGGCAGATAAAATGTGGCCCAGTTCCCAACCATCCGATCAGAGTACTCCCACAATACCTCTACCTGCCTCTATCTGTCGTATCAGGTGACAAAAGGGATAGAACCAGGTCGACAACCGGTCAACAATTCTGTCAAAAAGTATGACGCATTCTAGACAAGACTTGCGAATTTTCTTATTTCGGAATTTCGAGGTGGGAGATCGGGTCATGTGAAAATTTTGGACGAGAGTGGACGACCCCAAATAGTTGATATCAAGGCGAAGGAGAAGAAGAAAATCTCGCTTACTACTCGTACCATTATTTCGGTGTATATTTAGGTATATTATAAAAAAAAAACCGAAAAGTTGGTTCGTTCTGTAATGAAATAAAAGCTATTTATACAAATTAAAAATATTTTTGCCGAGTGTTTGGTATATCAATTCGTGTAAAATTCGTGTGAAATTCGTGCCACAGCATATTAAATTGTATGCGTGTAATTAGTCCCCCTCACATTATTAATTAGTAATTAGTAACTGACTTAGACCCCCTCAAGCCCCCAACAATTTCCGCCAATTCGCAGGAAAATTTCACAGATATTTGTTTATGCAGCATAATTAGTGTCACCTATCGCCTCCTCGTATTTCTTCGCCGTCGTGCAGCCAAGTGACTTGCGGTAACGGCCGACCGGACACGGAAACTTTTAATCGCATCGGTTCGTTTTGTTCTAAAAGCAAACCTTCTTCGTAATCTTGCGGTAAACGAACCATCGGGGGCGCTAAAAATCACACCGAAAATATAATATGAATTTAGGTATTTTCTAATAAATAAAATAAAATCAATTGTCGGGCCATGCCTTCAAGTCTCAATCTGGCCTTCGTAATCGCGTGACCGGCCTTGTTCGTAGCCGAGCACTTTATTTCGCCTTCGTCGGAATACTCGGCTTGATGGATGTACAAAGTACTGACGCCGTTATCGGTGTTTACCCTCTGTCGTCGATTGCTGAATAATTCAAAACCGTCTTTGTACCAACTGATTTTCGGTGTTGGCGTCCCCTCGAATTCCACTTCGAATTTCACCTAAACAAACATTAAAATATGATAATAATACGTCATATAGTATAATAATTAAATGTATTTTAATTCAATAAATTAAATTCACGCGCGTTACGGATGGTGCCAGATATATTAGGATATTTAATATTGTAACCTTCGAGAACAAAATGCTAAGAACGGTATGCGGACCTGTATATGATACAATGTTGAACTGCTGGCGAAGAAGAAAGAACGTGGGGATAAAAAATATGACAAAAACCTAACCAGTAATAACAAGTTATGTAAAGGGACAGAGACTAAAGTGGTTTGGACACGTAAGACGAAGAGAAATAACAAATTAAGGAAGAGTTACTACTGAATGGCAACTAGAAAGAAAGAGGCTATTGGGGCGGCAAAACAAACGATGGATGGATGGCATACAACAAGACTTTAAGAGACTGGAAGATACTAAAAGGAAATAATCCAGAACTGTGGAAGTTGGGGAGCACTGTTGGTGAACAGTGGCGGTTAAAAATCTTGCAGAGCTATGAAACCATATGATGACGACGATGATGATAAATAAATGCAAATAAAAAAACCGTTTAGTATGATAAAAACATCGCGTACCACTTAAATGTAGTAATTTCGAGACAAAAATATTTTTCGTTTTTTATAAATTCAGTTTACTGAAACACTTTAAAACCTAAATGTTTTCAAACAAAATAATAGATAAATTATGAAACTAGATTTCAATTTACCACGAAATTAACTTTACGATTCGATTTCATTTTTTTCGTCGACAGTATCACGAGAACGGATACATTTTTACCTGTTTTGTTTTGTTTTTTTTTTCCAGAACATTTTAAGGAATAAATTCGTTAATTTTCGGTTTTTCTTGTTCATAAACAAAATAAACAAACATGTTTCACTGTTATGAACAAGATGGCCAATAATATGCGCACATACGGCATAAATACGTACGCACAACTACCGAAAAAACCGCGAAATAAGCAAAATGTTTAGCGGTGACACTATGTAAGTACTTTCAAAACGACTCTGTATCGGATCGGATTGTCGATATGCGCTTTCATGCGAGAAACGTGCAATATTATAACACATCAAGTTTTCATTCGCGACAGTTATTATAAATCATAATAAACATGATATTTTTATGTATACTAACTTGTTCGTTTTCCAAGGCGACGCGATCTTCGATCCCGCGCACGAAAACCGGCGCCACAACGGCCGTCCTGTGTACGGTTATCGAGACCGGATCCGAAACGATGCTGGGCGGCGAATGTCCGGAAGCGTTCGCGGCTTTTACACGGAACTGATAACGCCATCCCGGCTCGAGACCGCTCAAAGTCAGATGATTTTGTTGGACCGTGCCCGGCGTCGCTCTGACCCAGTGCGGCGAAATAGTTCGACGGTGCTCGACGACATACCCTGGAAAGTAGCGTATTATAAGGTGTACGTTATTAACAGGAAAACTGCAAAGCCCGGTTTAGGTATAAGCATTAGACGGGATTAAAGCGGCGGGACGCATACGAGGGGACTCGGTTCCCATACCTCTCGCCGCGCTTAAAAGACGTCCACTATAACATAATCTCTAAAGCGTATCGGGTTCGAGAACTGCGTGCAACGCCCAAAATAAAATACGCATCACAGTAGTCTTTGCCATTTTACACCCCGAACAGTTGAGCAACACTATAGTTACCTACATAGCCTCTGATTTTGAGATGCCTCATATTTTCACTCGTTATTGGTATTTGCTCGCGAATTGATGTCGTATATGTTTGACGCAGTTGAGATAAAAGCCCCCCCCCTCCATTTCCGAAAAAACCACTCGGAATTCACTTCAAATTCCCACAAAAATGAGCGTATAATAAATACGTTTGAAATTTCACAAAAACATTATTAAAACGCAATATTTTAAATATATAACGAACTGTCAATATGCGTCAAATTAAATTAAATTGCAGTCAATAAACAATTCTGAGCCGAGTATTATAATATTAGTCTTGTGGTTTTCCCTTGTATCGCCACTTGTACGTAACCCAGAAATCGACGAAAATAAAACAGATTGACATTCGCTATCAGTTAACAGGGTCGTCTCCAGACCTTGACTATAAAAAAAAGACGGACATACTTCGCACAAAGAATGGATCACTGTAGTAAATGAGAAATTGGGGAAGTTGGGAAGGTAGGATATAGGGGGAAATTCAATGTATGTCTGTAAGCAAAAATTAACCATTGATAACGAAAAACGATTCTGAGCGTAGGTCGGTTAATATTATTGATTTTTTCAACAATATATTATGTGCCATAATATGTATATACTCAGAATCTAAAAAATTACGTCGAATAATATATTGATTGTATCTATTATATCTACTTCTGGTCGAATTACTGTGCCAAATGCCAATGCAAGTACACTTATCTCGGAGGAGGGGGCGGGACGATCACCCCCGCCGTCCCTCTCGGGGACTCGCCAGGTTTTTAAAACTTTTGTAGAAAACCGGTGGGAATCTGTTTTCCTTTTTTTCAAATGAAGAACTACCGGAAAACTTCGCATCGTTTAAGATATACGGTATGCTGATTCGAAGCACGGTGGACGTTGGAACGCATCTAATATAAATAATACCGTGCGCTTTCGCTAGACGATTGAAAACAAGCGCGCGCGGTACTGTTTTACATTCATGCGTGTTTAAATATAAAATGTAGGTTTATATACGTCCTGCGGTCTATGCACGAACGAAGTGTCGGACGTTTCTTGGGTATAGGTACACTCTTAGCTTGTTCGTGATGACATTTCGTTACAGTTTTAACGGTTCTAATCAGCTCTATGCGCATGGTATATTGCGCTATTGCCGTTACTATGATAACGACAGATAAGTGAACCCGTACGGTTAAACGTGCGGGTCCCGTTCGGTGCCGCCGCTCAGCGGTGAATAATATTCGAAACGCGTAACGCCCGGGTTCCCGGTGTTCCTGCACTCCACCGTATTAATAGAAACTCCAGACGCTTTAAAACGTTTGTTTTTTTTTTTTTTTCTGGCACCCGGAGACCAACAACGGTTTCGTGTGAACGAACTTTCCCGTACAAAAAATACCCGTTTCTGCGCTCGGGCATTGTGGGCGCGCCGCCGTCCAACCAATAACCAATCGCGCCGCGTTGACGACAGTCTGTCGACGATCGCGCCGGTGCCGCGCGCACGCAACCGGCTGTTTAGCCGCGTTCCCCGAGACGCCCGCGCGGTTTTCGCGGCGCTAATTGTTAGCCGGTCGCGTGTTCGAACGACCGCGAAACAATAACGATAATTATTACGGCCGGCCGTCGCCTACCTGTGATCCTGGACCCGCCGTCGTTGGACGGCGATTTCCACTTGACCGTTATCACGTCCGGTTCGTCGGCCGGGGACGCGACCACCAGATACGGTTTTCCCGGAGCGGACGGTGCGCCGCCTGTTGTACAATAGGTATAGATCATAATGTGTTATAAGATAAAAAAAAAAAGAAGCGAAACGGTTACCCGGTCCACCGGCGTTACACCGTACACGAGGTCGGGTCACCGCGAGTGCCGGGGCGTACGTACCGGGGGCGCCGGAAGATGTCGACGACGACGGACGGCGGCCGTAATACGACGAACCGCCGCCGCGGTCGTCGCGCTGATGACGCCTGCTGCTGTGCTTACTGTGCGACGACGAATTGCCCATGGTGCACTGCCATCCGTCCGCGAAATTCCGCGGGGTGACCGTGTGCGGTGGTGACCGCGCGGTCGGCGAACGCGGTACCCGATCGCGCCAGTTACCGCGGCCGCGGTTCTAACCCGTCGCCGTTTCCCGGCGTTGGCTGGCTCGCACCGGGTGTGCACCGTAATAATAATAATAATAATAATAATAATAATGTAATATTATAATACTCGCGCACGCGGCACCGCGACGACGGGACCGCTCGGACGTCTGACTTACGAATAAACGAAAATAGAACGTGCACCGGCACAGCTGCCGTTGTCACCGGGGTCTGGCCGACAGTCCCGCGGCCGCGTACGGTACGCGCGGACGCCGGGGCGGCGGCGCACGTCACTGCGGACGCACAAGCCGATGGTGGGGCACCGACGTACGCGTAACGATCATTATGGAAACTTGCCATACGATTTCGGGTGTTTCGTCTTTAATGTGTTCGTTCGTCTTCTTTACCGCGTCTCCGGTGTTCGCGTTGTCATTATTATTATTATTATTATTATTATTATCATCACGGATTTACCGCGCTCGTTAAACAACCATCGGACTGACGAACTTTCCGCGTAGCTGCACGCGAGCGCCGAAATGGCCGCCGAGCGAACCGTTTCCGAAATTCGCTATGGAAAAAAAAAAACAAACAAACAAACAACAACAACAACGGTCAAATGTACGGTATAAATATACAGTAAAAATACTATGGCGCGGCGGGCCGAAATCGGAGCTTACGCATCGCGTTTCCGGGAAAACGAAAAAAAAAAAAACACGGGAAACGGATTTTACCGCGTACACTGCCGCAAGTCACGGATTGAACGTGTTTTCCTTACGCGATTCGGGACGGAAAACTCGAAAATGTTACCGAACCGGATTCGCCGTCCAAAAGTCATCCCGCGAAACGGTGTCGCAAAATCGTTTTTCTCGGCTTTTTTTTTTGGATATTATGAGTTTTGCACCGCGCCGGTTTTTTTTAAAACGTGCCCTGCAAAGATAAAACAGACAAATGCTGTTGCTACACAGCGTACAGCGTAATAACGGCGGGTACCAGCGTACAGATGACAACGGTTATTGTTATTTATAATTCGTTTTTATTATTTCACACGTTTACGTATTTTCGATAATGATTAGAGCTGGGATTTCGGTGCATTTTTTTTTTTTTTTGTTTTTTTTGTAAATGTTTCCGGGCAATGCTGGTGTCTGATCACAAACCTATGTGCTTTTAAATGAGAACAAAGTAGTTTATTTCGCATTTTTTGGCAATTTTTAGTTTTTAGGTTACTTGATTGATTTTTTAAGGCATTTTTATCGATATTTTAGAGTTTTTGGTTAAAAAATATGAATTTGAAATTTTCTACACACAGACAAGGATTTTTGCATGAATTAAACAAATTATAAAGTAGGTACTCGTAATTCCTGTTGCATTATCGGCGGACAGCAATTGAAATGTCAAAACATACGATATAACTAAATATGTGGTGTATTTAAAATCACTGAATCCAGACCAAATATTTAGGGGGGGGGCTAGAGGGAGCGATCGCCCCGGGCGACATTTTTATAGGGACGGTATCAGATTTTTACATAACCCAGCTTCTGTTAATGAAAATAATATAAATTGGTTAATATTCTGAAATTTTAACAACTGGCACCACAGCTATAGAGTATAGACAAGATTTGAAGGATTTGAAGACATAAACCTGTACGTAAATACTGCTCTATCCGTGTTGTCCCGTGTCAAACTGCTCTTCAGAGCGATCGTTTAGTGCACTAAAACGAATTAAAAATTATTTGTGGTCGAAGACGAACGACTAAACAGTATCGCCGTATTATAAATATCGAATCAGACATTACAAAAAGTTTAGAGTATGATGACATCTGACATTTGGTTCCTGTAAAGCTCGAAAAAGAAAAAATGTAAATTGTAAACATTTATTGTTTTGTAATTATTGTGAATAATAACTGAATCTGTTTTGTATTTGGTAAAAGGATAGATAAAACGGGGGTTACCCGGAATAGTAAGCGTCCGACGCGCTCGGTAGGTGGAACAAGTCAAATAATATTTATTTTTTGGCGGGGGCCTGGGGGGGGGAGAGCGGAAAAATATCCACACCCGGGTGCCGGATTCCCGGAGAACACGCGTCTGACCGAATCTTAAATCAGTAATAACCGACGTCTGATGGTATCGTTTAATACGAGTTCCGCGGTCGTAACCGCCGCGAACATTTACGCGATTTAAACAACACCGAAATCGTTTTTTTTTTTTTTTACGGATTTCAAGTGATATTTATAACGCATATTTTAAGTGTTTTTTTTTTTTCCAATCATTTTCGCATTTTTCGAGGACCTCCTAGGACGCCGAAATCCCGGTACTCGGATAACGGCACTCGAATCCGTCCGTAACGCCCGACATTTCCGTTTATTATTGTAGGCGCACCGGAAACGTGCCCGAGGGGGGAGGGGGGACCCGGGCCGAACTCGCGACAGCGCAATGGTCGTACGGAACCATTACGATACGCGCCGTCGACCGTCCGCGCGGTTATTGTTAGGACCGCACGGAGAGCTCGGCGTCCCCGCGCGTTCGCGTCGGACGTCACCGGCGAGACGGCCGCGCCGCAGAACGTGCCGTGTAAACGCGCGGGTGCGGTTGTAATCGCGCGCCGTTGGCGGTACGCGTCCGGCGCATCACGACAGCGGATTCGGGCGAATTCGAACGCCCCGAACGTTTTGAACGTTTTCAACGTTCTCGCCGGACGTCCGCTCCGAGAACAAATACACTCGTAACAGGCGGTTTTTTTTTTTTTTCCCCGAAAAACTTCCGTCGCGGTATCCCGCGAATCTCGCGACAACCGCGCGAATTCGCCGCGTACGTATTTTGATTCGCCGTTCCGTCGGAACCGTCGCGGGCCGCACGTGAATACGATGGTTGACGACGGGAGGCGATTCGAGACCGTTCGTTCTGCGTCGGTATTGTGTCGTCAGGGGCGCGGATTTGTACGGGCATTTTTTTTTTTTTTTTTTTTTTCGTTTATTCCGTTCAACACCTTTACAAATCGTACTGTCGCGCAATTATTTTGGAAGTCATTCACGACGGTTCGTTTTCTACGGTCTCGATCGAGTGAAATGTACGCCAGTCCCTTTACCAACCGGTTTTCACATTGACACATAACGCCACGGCATTCGTCGTATACGTTCGCACGACGTCCGTAATTTTTTCGTTGCGACCAAAAGTTTTCGTTTTTAAATAAACGCGGTTCTTTCTTTTTTTTGCATATATATATACATATATCATAATCATGACTTTTAACGCGTACAAATCCGCGTAATAATATCGTTATGCGATCTAAACGAATATGCCGACATCAATCGTCAATTATAATATTATGAAACCGATTCGGAACGACTCGTCGGAAAAAAAAAATAGAACCTTAAAAACCCACATCGCACGCGTTGTTAGATCTCTGGTGTTAATATTATACAAACGTTACATACACACACGTGATATTATGATGCATCTGAAAATATCGTCATAAAACGACAGATGTGCGCGAGTCAAGGATTACAGAACACTCGAAATGTTTAACGACAATAATAAATAACAATCACGCAGTAATACTATGCGGTCAAATAATTCCAGATCGAACGTCGTACGAAACATTAGCGCTATCTATAGTAAAAAAAAAAAATAATAATAATACTTTAACGGCATAAGCGATTGCGGTTTTTCGTCTGTAATTGATATCCAATCATTATAAAATTACGACTTGGACGATTTTAACGCATCGATACTAACGTAAAATCATCAATAAACAAGCCTTTTAATCGCGATAATGCACTTTAAAAAAAAAAAAAGGCCGAAAGATTCGGTTTTAAAAAAACGTTTTTTATACGAATCAAACAATAGACAACACTCATAGATACAAAAGGAACGAAAATTTGAAATTAAGACCAAATAACGTGAAATTGTTAACGTCGCTGCTCGCGTTCCGTCAACGCGTCCGCATAAGGAAAACAATAGACCATGATAAAAGTTTATTATTAACTTTATTATTTTATTACATTTTTTGTCGTTGAATTAACACTTTAATAATTTCATAATCTAAATTTACTCCGAAATTTCGCGTGACAAACACGACTAATAATTTATAATATTATATTTTTAATCTATATATTTATATATGTATAAAATGAAAATACCATCGGCTCGCTAATCGCTGTATCTCTAAAACTACTCAACGTGCGCACTTGAAATTTGGTATAGCGGTTCTTCTAATACTTTCACCGTGCAACAGGAAAGGAATTTTTTGAAAATTCACTCCCTAAGGGGATAAAATAATAAGGGTTTTTAGATATATTTGGTACGAATATCTAATTGCTTATTTATTTATTTTTGTTTATTCAAGGGTTACATTGGTGTTCGGGAAAAGAAAACTGTTATAATAATAATAATAATTATTATTATTATTATTATTATTATTATTATTACTATTATTTGCACTATTAAAATTTCACAACAGAACACGTTTAGTCCGCCGAAGGTAGTAAAATAATAATAATAAAAACTGGCACGGGCAACGCCGGGCGCGAGACAGCTAGTCTAATATAATATTGATAATAACTTATTACATTGAAATATGATCGATTTCGTTTAAAAAAAAAAAAAAAAAAAACCCCCCGGTAAAAATACAGAAATATCTAAAAACTATGTCTAAAAATAGTATCGAAATGTAAAAAATATATGCAACATTTTGCGATATTTTAGATTAGGTTTATAAATTAAAAATAATACATTTTATAAAGCATATTGAATTGATTATTTTTATGTTTTTCTAATTTTTAAGAGAATATAAGAGAATGATTGCATTTTTTTAAGAGAGTATTAGCATCATATTTTTTAAATATTTTAAGACAATATAAATCCGGACTATACTCATAAGAAACATGCAAATACTTTTAAATCTCACTCTTAATTATTATACATTGTA